AGGTGCTACGAGTCGGAAATGACTCAACAGCAATGGGTCTGGTTTGGTTTATACTTCGGTGCACATTAAAAAATGAACTAGGATAGCCAGATACAAAGCCTTTTTCTTAAATTGTTTCAACCTTTGTAAGGTACATCACATACTCCTGCACCTGTACCTAGAAATTTCTCCTTTTAAAAAAATTATTTTGCTTTACTGTCACTTGTACTGGTCAGATGTAAGCAAGGTTTTCAGATTATCTTGGCAGTAGCTGAAAAGAGGGTGTTAAAAGTCAAAATAAATACTTTTGGGGGGGTACTAAAGATGACAGAAAGAGGTCATTAAGTAAGAGCTTTGCTTTAGGCTCAAAGTTTGCATTATTCTGAAAGGTAATACAGTCCATTCTGGTTAAGAAATAGAAAACTCAAAGAAGTACACGCAGAGGAGACAGCAGAAAAGTTTTCCAGTTTCTTTCTAATAAAAAAAAAATCTAGACACAATATTCCAATAAACAGAAATAAAAAACAGTGTACAACATGAAACAAATCATTTTTAAAGTGTGTGTGACACTGCCCCCTCCCATTATTAGTACAATTAGGATGAGCTGGCAGCATCCATATATACAACCTGAAAAAAAATACACAACTGCTTGTTTAAATCTAAAAACAAACACGTGACAAGCAAGTAAACTGTGAAACTAATGTCATTCATTTTTCAAGAGGGAGGATAAATAAGGCATTTAACTGACAAGGCTTCAAGAAATACATACATAAAATGCACAGTCAGGTCTGAGAAGCAACAGGAAGGTGTGAATATTAAATAAAAAGTTTAGTAAGACAAGTCGACACACGATTCTCAAAACCAATGTTCAATATTAGCAAATATACAGAAAAAAAAGACTAGACGTTATTCTACTTGACAATTTTTGATTCTCAAGGAACAGTGAAAATGAATACAGAGTTCCACTTTTTTTAAATATGGGAAATAATGGGAAATATTTCATATGAAAATCTACAAAGCTGATATAAATCTATAAGGTTACTAATAGACTCATTTAGACAAGTAGTTAAGAGACAAAGTTCATACACGAAAAAGCACAGCTGACCTATAAAAATGATCAGCTTGACTGCTAATCAAAGAAACACACAATTGTAAAAATCTGTATTATAGCCATAAAGGTATCAAATACTAAAAATCATTAGAGCCAACACTGAGTCAAGCCGTGGAGAACCGGGACATTCAAACACCCTGGGGTCACACACAATCGTTTGGCAATGATGAAAAAGGGCTTTAAGGCTCTTAATACCCTTCGACCCAGTGATTCTACTCTGGAAAATTTATCCAAGCATATATATCCCTAAGAGAAAAAAAGTATACCATGTTGTTTTTAGTAAAAATAATGGGAACAATTCAAATGTGTGACAAACAGGAAATTGTTAAATCAATTGTGATATATAACCTAATACCTACTTTTTTTAATTTAAAAAAAAAGAATATGAAAATATTACTACTGTATAAAAATTTATGTTTATACCCTTGTGGTGTAAAGAACCTAGTTTGACCCCAAGTAAGGTGACCTTTGTCTTTGACTCTGGAGAAATCACCCTTGGAGTAATTGGGGTGCCTTGGTCTGGAACTTGCAGGCCACACCAAAGGATGTGTACTGGTGAGTGGGGCCTGGCCAGACCAGGAAAAGACTGATCTGGGAAGCCAATATCAACTAGCCTCAGAAAGCGTGACTAGCCTCTCATGACTAGCCACTCTAGTGGTTAACAGCTCGACTGCTAATCATGCAAGACTGGCCAACGAAACGCCCAGAGGAGGGCTTCCTGGTTAGCGAGAGCTTCTGCTCTTGGGAGGGTAGTGCATCCTTTGGGACATGGAAGCTTCATGCTGGGAATCTTCCAGACCTCACCCTATGAGTCTTTTTGTTAGTATCCTTTTTGGCTATAATAAACGTGTAGTCTTAAGTATGGTATACTCTTGTGAATCCTGTGAATTGTTCCAACGAATGAGTGAACCTAAAGGGGTAGTAGGAGCCAGCAGATCAGGTCAGAAAGTAAGGCATCCACGTGGGCTCCTGAGCTTGCAGCTGGCATCCTGAAAAGGTGGTGGGAAACCAGCCCCTAATTTGTGGCTAGCGGGTCAGAAGGTTGGGGTGTCATATGGACTCCCCAAACATGCAGCTGGAGTCTGCCTATCTAGCAGTCTGAAGGACGGTGTCCTTTTCACGGGGCAGCTCTGACCTAGTTCTGGGTGACTAGGGTCAGAGAGAGAGAGAGAGACAGCTGTGGGGGCAGGTGGAGAAAGGACGGAGAAGTGGGATTGTGAGGACTAGATTCGTGTTGATCCATACCACGCAACCCTGAGGATGAGTTTTTTTTTAAAGTAGTTGGATTCTCTGCTATAAAGCTGATAATGAAGATGAAGGTGGTATGAAAAATAAAAAAGAAGACTACATAATATAATTATCAAAGTCACTGCTAATTTAAGGGGAGTTTCCTAAGATTGGAATCCTGGTGGCGCAGTGGTTAAGAGCTCGACTGCTAACCAAAAGGTGGGCAGTTCAAATCCACCGGCCACTCCTTGGACACCCTATGGGGCAGTTACTCTGTCCTGTAGAGTCTCTATGAGTTCGAATCGACTCGACGGCAACAGGTTTGTTTGTTTTTTCCCCTATGGTTTTAGCTTAAGAAATTTTTTTTTTTTAACGGTGTCAGGTTTCTCTGGAAAGTTATTTCTGGGAATTATGAAGCAGACCAGCCTTTTTACAATAACACCTGCAATATCAGAATAATATTTCCAATATGAACTCATGGTTCCATGGATGACATAAACACAGTTTTGCTAATTTGAACAGGAGGTTTCAGACAATATTCAAATACATCAAGTTGAGCTTCTGGTGATCAAATGTTTCAACAATAACTTGGCTTCTAAATTCAATTCAAAGAAGTGATTAAATGCTAAGGATGAAAGACTCAAATATCCGGTTACGATAAATCAATCATCTTTAAGACACTATGTCTTATCCATTGCCCACAGAGATTTGTAACATTTATTTCCCCAAATAATTTCTGTATGTTCTTTTTATTCTGCTCATTTGCTGAGCTGATGCTTCAACTCTTGGCATTTTATCAAGTGATGCCACGTAAGGTGGGTTCCTAGAATACAAGTGGGTCATGACGCAGAATTAAGAGACTTCTTATGTCCCCATAAAATTTTAGAAGCGATAGGAGAGTCAACAGTTTTAACTTCTTAACTATTTCACATAATTTTCCATGAATAATGGTTGAAAGGAAGTTTAGAAAAGCTGTGATATGAAAGTGGGCTCTTCTATTGCATAAGTTCTCTATTAAAACATTATGAACATATCCTTCCCCCAACAAAGAAAAAACACAAAGGTCATAGAAAGGAACTAATCACACTTAAATTAGTATCTCCGTAACAAAAAAATACTGAGTAACTGAGCCACTAACATAAAGCACATAAAATAATTTCCCAGTGGAAGTCACCATCCCTTAACTTCCATCAAAAATTATTCTCTTTTAGTGAGAAATATTTGTGGACACAGAATTCCAAAGCCCCACCTAACCTGAGAGCCCAGCACATGGGGATGGCTCACGGTGAGGCTTCTCCTCGCCAGCGTGGAGTCCGTGCCAGAAAGCTCCATTGCTACACTACAAAAGTACAGTTTCAATGAGGTTCATTCTCTGAATTTTCTACCCTTCTACTAAGGCAAATAAATGAAGACAAGCAAGCACTACTGAACAATACACACTGAATTTCTGAAATTATTTTACTACATACTAAGATACCATTCATAAAGACAGATGAGCCACATATTAAGGAGTAAGTTGTTCGAACTTTAGTGTCAGAAAGAAAAATGACTAAACATTTTGGCTATGTGACCTTCTAATAAAATGTGGCAGTAACCTACCTGGCATGTTTATAATGCCATCTATTATTAAAAATAACCAGATACACGGAATGAATGAAGGCAACACAACAGTGTGTTAAAAAGTGAAATGTCTGTTTCCAATATTTTCTGCCTAAATATCTGTAAATATTTTATACAATGTTAAGAGATTTCTATTAGTTTTTTAAATATCAGTTACTAATTTCAGACACAGACATTAAGTATTCACTGGATTAGAATTTTCACTCTCTTCCTTTATCCTTGAAATATTTATTGAGTACCTACTAAGCACAAAGTTTCCATTTTGGGCCAAAGGATTTCTGAGAGACATTAAGTGTTCCTCCTTTTCCAACTAAAAATCAATTTTATCTCTATTTTTATGTTGTTGTTTTATGGTCAATCCTACACTGCAGGACCAAGAAGAAACAACACTTTTCAGAGAAACCTGTGGCAATTTTTGAGTAATGACTCAAGTCATTTTCCCTACCTCTAAGCAAAAGATGAATTAACAATTTTCATAAATATCACTGGGGAAAAAATTATTAGAAATGATCTTTAGTTCTTGGAATGTTTTGTTAAATAAGTTGGAGTACAAAAAATTATTTATTTCCCTACCACCACCAACTGCTCCGACAGGGTTCACAATCGAGGGTCCCGGACAGAGTGGGAGAAAAATGTAGAACAAAATTCAAATTCACAAAGACCAGACTTACTGGTCTGACAGAGACTGGAGGAACCCCCAACACCACTGCCCCCAGACACCTCGCTAAACTCAGAACTGAAGTCCCTTCCGAAGCCCATCTTTCAGCCAAAGATTAGACAGGCCTATAAAACAAATGTAACACACAAGAGGAACGTGCTTCTGAGTTCAATCAAGTCTACGAGACCATATGGGCAACACCTGCCCAAAAGCAAAGACGAGAAGGCAAGAAGGGACAGGAAAACTGGATGAATGGACACAGGGAACGCAGGGTGGAAAGGGAAAGGGGGAGATTGCTGACATATTGCCGGGGATTGCAACCAATGTCACAAAACAGTTTGTATATAAATTTTTAAATAAACTTTCACCTAAAGCACAATAAAATTAAAAAAAAAAATTACTTACTTCCAAGTTGCCTCTCTTTATTGGATTCAACACTAATAATTTCTTCAGAAGATTTTCACAGTCTGTGGACATATAGAAGGGAATACGGTATTTCCCTCGTAAGACTCGCTCCCGCAGTTCCTTACAAAAGCAAAACAAAGCACTTACAACTGGCTTTTCACATTATCACATTCGAGAATAAAAACAAAATAATACAGAATTTAGCTGATACCTTTAAATTTTGGCCATCAAATGGCAAGGAGCCACTGACAAGTGTATAGAGAATGACCCCAAGACTCCACACATCCACTTCAGGCCCGTCATACTTCTTCCCTTGGAAAAGCTCGGGAGCAGCATAGGGCGGGCTTCCACAAAAGGTGTCCAATTTGTTCCCAACTGTAAATTCATTACTAAAACCAAAGTCAGCAATTTTAATATTCATATCGGCATCAAGGAGAAGGTTTTCGGCCTAAGAGGAAAATCACAAAAAGGACAATGTAAAAAGCCTACATACAATAAAAATACTCATCATAATTATTTCAGATCACAAACATATGTTTCTTGCTTCTCATTTAAAAACACAGTATCAAATTTCAGAAGCCCAGCATGGTACTGCATGGTATAACCACTTAGAATTATATCCACATAAGATTGAGTTTTAAAGCTAAAAAGGGAAGACTCTCATTTATATAAACAAATGCATCTGTTTAAGACAGGTTATTTAAAATTCTTCCCCCCACCCCACAGATTATTTAAAACCTATTTTTCCCCCATAGTAAGAAACATCCTGGAACTGTACTTTAATAGGACCTATTCTGAAGGCTCTAAGTTGCCACAATACTGATCCATCTTGGACTTAAAACAAGAAGTTTACCAAAAAGAGTTCTATTTTAATACGGTATCATCGGTTAATACAAGGCTCTGCCATTTGGGTGGTCTATGACTACTGAATTCATTCCTTTGTCCTCCCTTGTCGAATGCTACCTCAACAGAGGACTGTCTGCTCAGTAAAACAATACAGGTTCCATTTGATCTGTTGTCTGTTTTAAATTTCCTTCTGTTATTTTAAAACTAGAATAAAACAGTGATTTTTTTTCCACCATGTTTTGAGATGCTGGTTTTCCTAAATCCTAACAGAAGACTCACTCAAAGAAAAATATTTAAATGTGCCTTTTGAAAATGCAAGAAATTCACTAAAGGATTTTGTTTTTGCATGTTTTACTTCGAACTCTTCTTTATAACTGATAGATAAAAGTTACAAGTTACTTTGTAGATGTTTCATCAGATCCTCCCAAAAATAACAAAAGTTGCCTGAAATCAAAGTCAGAGCTCTGTATCCTTGGTGGGCCCAGCAGTTATCAGAGCCACGCATTCTGCCCACATACATCTCCTCCTCCTCCCCTTCCTTTTCTTTTCAAAGGTATACTAGCTTCAAATCGCCTTATATGCATGCAGAAACTGCACAATGAATAAGGAAGACGGAAGAAGAATTGACACCTTTGAATTGAATATTGCATATACCATGGAATGCCAGAAAAACGAACAAATCAGCCTTGGAAGAAGTACACCCAGAATGCTCCTTAGAAGGAAGGACGGCAAGACTACATCTCACATACATTGGATATGTCATCAGGAGGGATCAGTCCCTGGAGAAGGACATCATGCTTGGTAAAGTAGAGGGTCAGGGAAAAAGAGGAAGACCCTCAACGAGAAGGACTGACACAGTGGCTGTAACAATGAGCTCAAGCATAACAACGATCCTGAGGATGGCACAGAACCGGGCTGTGTTTCGCTCTGTTGTATACAGGGTCTCTGTGAGGATGGCAGCTAACAACAAGTTTGGAATATTTGTTTTTGTTTTGTTTGGAAAATGGAGATACACCTAGCACCCAAGAACATGCAATGAAGAATGTGTTATCATTTATGACATACTATAAAAGTAAATAAATTTCAGAGATCGTAACATTTATGGACTGTCTGACAAAATCAGTTTATTCTGATGTTCTGATTTAAAGGGCCGGTCATTGTAAATTTCCGAGGCCATCTGTGAGCAAGCTGGACTTTTCTCATTCTATCTAAAGAAGTCTGGCTGGTTATTGTAATATCCAGCTGCTTCAGAAGAGGAGAGATAGAGGAGTTCCGAGGTCTCCTTTCAGAAGTATATGAAACAACTCCCTCCTCTGGACTGTAGGAAAAACACAGGGTGCTGAACACGATCTTTTGCCATGTTCATTTCCACGCCATTACCATGATATTTTTCCATGTAAGAAATGAGATGATAAACTGGGAGTCAAACATACAGGCAAGGGAACAGCCCTCTTCTCTCTCTTCCTTTGGCTAAGTGATTTCCCCTTATAACAGCTGAGGGAAAAACTTGAGAAACAAAAAATTTGGAGCAGCAGAAAATCTGTAAACTCAGAAAGAGCCAAAATACAAGATTAGACTTCTGACAACACAACTAGCAGGGTTTATCCCAGGAAAGCAAGGATGGTTTAACATCATAAAACCTATTGCTGAAATGCACCATGTCAACAAATTAAAAGAGAAAAACCATTATGATGATTTCAATAAATGCAGAAAAGAATCTGATGAAGTTTCAGTACTCGTTCAAGATTGCAAAAAAAGAAAAATAGAAAAAGTCTTAGCAACCCAGAAACAGAAGTATAATTCTTCAGTCTGATAAAGAGTGACTGCCAAATCTTACACTAAACATTACACTCAACAGAAAACTCTCTTTAAACCTGGAATACAGCAAGGATACTCGCTACCACTAATTCTTTTCAACATTAACCTGGAGGACCTAAAAAGCGCATGAGGATAGAAAAGACGGAAGTGTAAGGAACAGAAATGAAGAAACAAAACTATCTACACTGAAAAAATACTATTAGAACTAAAAAGAGCTCAACAAGTTTTCTAGATATAAAATAATTATACAAAACAATTATGTTACTAGACAACACAACCAATAAAGAATACATTTAAAACAATACTCTTTTCAATCACAACAGAAATCTAAAGGTATCAAAGAACAAATCTAACTACCAATGTATATAAGAGCTTGACAGAATAATACAAAACATCACTGAAAGAAATAAAAGGCCTAAACCAATAGAAAGATACACCATCTTTACGGATGGTATGATTCAGTATCACAAAGAAGGTAATTTCCTCTAATTAAATTACAATTCAATGTATTTCCAAATGAAATTCCAAAAGGGCATTTTTATAGAAATCAACCATCTAATAATAAAATCCACATTGAAGCAAAAAGAGTCAAGAACAGTCAAAATATATCTGAACAATAATAATAATGAGGGAAGAATCATCATATGAGATATAAAAACTTAATGGACAGCTACTGTTGGAAGGACGAAAAGATCAATGGAAAAAAAGGAAGTTTGGGAAGAGACCCAGATATTCATGGGAGCTTTGTACGTGAAAGAAATGGCAGCTGGAGCATCAAGTAAAGGATGGTTCAATAAATGCTGCTGGGACAATTAGCTGCCTGTATGCAAAAGGATTAACTTCATACAAAAATACATTAGTATTATTATAAATGCAAAAATGATATGCGCTATTTGCAAAACAAAACAAAATCAAATATCACAGAAGCATGTAAATTAAGATGTGAAAGTTTTCCCCACTCTATCATCAGATGTCCCAGAGGGAATCACTTTTTTCTATGGATATAAAACACACACACACGCACTCTTGCATACATATAAACTCACTTAAAATGGTATTATATAACATATCTATTCTGTAACTTGTTTTTTTTTTTAACAATAAAGTATCATAGACGTTCTTCCAGATCACAACAGGTAGATACATTTTGAGGGACGCTCTAGTATCACACAGTATAACTATTCAATAATTTACCTAAACTTCTATTGATGGACCTTTAAGTTTTTTCACATTTTTTCTTAGGCTGACACCTAGGCTCATTGCAAGCCTGGCTAACTGCTGAAGGAGGGCCCTGATACAAAACCAATTTGAAAAGATTAGGAGAGGTTCCCCTCATCTCAACATTGAAAGAAATCTCCGTCAAAACACTAGGTGAACACAAGCTAAGGAACAGAGACTCCAGTGTCCACACACATCCAGGAAAGCTGTGTTGCCGTCAATTCCAACTCACAGTGACCCTATAGGACAGAGTATAACTGTCCCATAGGGTTTCCAAGGAGTGGCTCACGGAGTCAAACTGATAACCTTTTGGTTAGCAGCCGAGCTCTTAAATCCCATTAAACCAAAAACCAAACCTGTTGCCATTGAGGCGATTCTGAATCACAGCGACCGTACAGGACAGAGTAGAACTGCCTCATAGGGTTTCCGAGGAGTAGCTGGTGGATTAGAACCGCCAACCTTTTGGTTAGCAGCTGAGGTCTTAACCACTGCGCCACCAGGGTTCCAAACATTTGCCTAACTGACACTAAATAAGAACCATACATACCTGTTCCAACATACTCATCACTGGAGTCCCAGAAGTAGAGATAGAAAGGAGCAGAAAGAATATTTGAAGATATAATGGCCAAAAACTTTCCAAATTTTATGAAAGACATGAATCTATACACCCAAGAAGCTAACTGAACTCAAAGTAGGATAAACTGAAAGAGATACATGCCAAGACACATTATAAACAAACTCTCAAGAACTAAACATAGAAAGAAAATTTTGAAAGCAGCAAGAGAGAAACCAACCATCACATACAAGAGAGCCTCACTAAGATAAAGCATTAATTTCTCCTCAGAAACCATAAATCTGGTTATTGGGCACACAACGCATAAAGATGTAATCGGTGACAACAACATAAAGGGGAAAAGTGGTATAGGAACAAAGTTTCTGCATCCTGCTGAAGATAAGCTGCTATCAATTTAAACCAGGTTGTCATAAATATAAGATGTTAAACGTAACCTCCACGAGGACAACAAAGAAAGTATCAAAAAGTATAAACGAAAGGAATCAAAATGGTTCACTAGGAAAAAAATCAACTAAACACAAAAGTAGGCAGTACTGGAGGAAATGAGGAACCAAAAAAGTTATAAGACACAGAAAACAGACAGCAAAAGGGCAGAAGTCCTTCCTTAGTGATAATTACTTTAAATGTATTAAACTTTGCTATCAAAAACCAGAGACTGGCAGAATGAAAAGGAAACATGATCCAGCTATACACTGTACGTTTGAGACCGACTTCAGATCCAAAGACGCAAACAGTTTGACAGTGGAACAATGGAGAAAAATATTCCATGCAAATAGTAACCCAAGTGAGCGAGATCGGCTAGTCTAGCATAAAAAGAAATAGATGTTAAGTCAAAATCCACGACAAAAGACTAAGAAGGACATTATACGATAATCAGAAAAGTCAATTAAACAAAGATACAACAATTATAAATATATATGCGTACCTATTAACAGAGCACAAAGTATATGAATGCAAACACTGACAGAATCAAATGACTTGAATAACATTAT